CCCCCGTCTCTCCACTAGAGGGCGCTACCACTCCAGCGCCACACCCCCGTCTCTCCCACTAGAGGGCGCATATCACTCCAGCGCCACACCCCCGTCTCTCCACTAGAGGGCGCTATAAGGCCTTCAGCCTCACCTGCGGCTGGGGCACCTCCCCCGCCAGCTCGCCGTCCAGACGAGCCGCTTCGCCGAACAGCCTGTCGATGAGCCGCTCCGCGCTGCCAGGCGTCTGCTTCTGCACCAGCTCCTCGGTGAGGTCTACGCGTGAATTACATGAATTCACAGACATGAAAAGTAAGGAACCTGATGGTACCCTTTTTTATAATATTCGGTCATTTAAAAAGTTCGCTTTTTAAGACCCACCACGAGTTTCTGGAGTCAGTTTTCCTTCTCTAATCTTCTTCATGGCGACATACCATAAAATAACCAGCAACCATAAAATAATACATGTCCTGTACTATGATGTTTTGTTTTTACGGGACAAATGGAGTACAAGTTAAAATTGAACTCCCACATTTGAGAAAAAGAAATGATGTCATTAAGCCCATTTGGAATACAATCACAAACAAATCACATCGCGTCCTCGTCAGTGAAACGTGATGTCGTCCCCAAACACGTTTTCCACACATTTTGAATATAAATGTAGTCATATTTTTTTCCCCTCATGAGTTTAAATTAAATTCAGACCGAAAATATTCCTCACCTTTAACCTTCGAGATGAAGTCGTCCATGTCGGTGACAGCTAAAAGAAATATGATGAGTTTATAAGAAAAGGCGCAGCTGTAAAGCTTTTCAAAAGGTTTGCTTGGCTGAAATGTACTAATTAAAACCCCTCTAAAAAAAAGACGCGCAGTTTTAATGTGTTGATATTTTCGGCGTCTCGACCACGGCCGCGAGCTCGCGAGCTGGGCCTCGAGCCTGTCGGCGCCTCGCGCCGGGCCGCTCGCGCCTGGAGTTCCGTTTCCCCGGGAGTCTCAAAGCAGTTAATCGTCGCTTTCCCTTAAAGTTTAAATGCTAAAAAAACCGGCTTCCATAAATATTGGTCCGAAATTCCACTGATTGTGAAAAGCTTATATCTTCATTATAATTTTAAAATTATATGTTAGAAATTATCCAAGGTTATAAACGTGTTATTATTATTTCAGGTGGGTGGCTGCGTCAGCATGCGTA